GTCAATGATGGAAAATTGTCCGCTAATGTAACCTCTTCAGGAACAGAAATATAAAATATGTAAATGTTTATCCAGTCTTGTTTAACTTAGATTTCGTTCCAAAAGACAGGCTTTGTTATCAGAAATCACCCCTCCTCCTCCCGAGTCCTCACAAATAAAAGATGAAATCTCGGGTTTGCTCCGGGCTCGGGCCTGCAAATCAAGTTAAGTGATCGGGCTCATGCACCCTTTGTGGCTTCCGTTCTCGACGAAATTTCAAAATCTCAGAGAAATGGCGAGGCCATGAGAATACAAGGCGAGGGTATTACTGTTGTGGCGACGCCACTCAAGCTCAGCGAGCCTCAGCAGTAGATAGGCCGCTGCTCCCTACTGTGCGTGCTTCAGCGCGAACATGTACGCAAGCGCGTCTTTTGATTTCAACCAATAAGCGCCGACGCAACGACGTCACACACCCGACGTCACACACAACAACAGCTAAGCTAAGCTAGCCGAGACGACATTCGAAGTCGGACGGACACGTTTTTCTGCCAATCTGTGTTTCCCTTTTTGTCCAAATATATTTTTTATGACAACTGTCTTGTCCACGGTGTCTTTTATTCGTTCCACTAGGGTTTAACAAGTGTGTTTATAAAGAGACGAAAATCTCTTTACTGTTACTAGTGTTAGTGTCTCAACATGGCTACGCTCGTGAAAGCAAAACAACGAACTCAAACGCGTCTTCGTTCAATGTTGTCAACTAATATCCGGATTAATTTGAGGCAATTTTTCCTCAATTCTCCGGAGAGATTTTCATAAAAATTTGAAAAACCCGGAATTCCGGGAAAATCCGGAGGACTTTCATCTCTGAATAATACATATTTTTCGTTTGGGCCTGATTGCAAAATTAATGTAGTGGTCCAGTCAAATCATAAGCTCCATATCACTGGCATCCGGTGGAATCTGAGTACCTCCAAAATCATCGCTCTTCAGGAAATGCCCAAAACGCTTTGTTTATTCATATTGCATTATCAAAGACAGCAAGCTAATTTCAACGTTTTAGATTGGTCAAAAACTGGACACAACACCCACATGTGAACTGACCAAAAGCATAGATTTGGGAAAAAAATTTGAACGTTGCCAATTTGCACCATAGGTGGTTTCGGCCTGATGGCATCAATATAGTGTTTGTGGACAAGATCACATAATACATATATTGGTATGTGTTTGCATAGTACAATAGCAAAAGTGCATTTAACGTGTGTGGGCATGGTCACATAATACATACTGCATATTATATTGGTGCGTGTGGGTAGTGTCAAATTATAGATAAAGAATCATCACCTTTGCTCTGTACTTCCTGTCGACTTGACGGGACGTCCCTCCTCTGTGCCTCACACAGGGGAGTTTCTCCCCCGTTGCCAAGGGGAAGTCACTGGGCAGCGTACCAGTCAGCTCCTGGCCCATGAGATTGATAGTTCACTAACACCATGGTAACAGGTGTACGGTGACATGAGCGAGTTCACGTGATGCCACTCACCGCCTCCTGCAGACACACATGCCTCAGCTCAGCCAATCGGACGGTGAGCAGCGCCTGCAGGCTCCGACTCTTCTCTTGTAGAGCCAACATGTGTTCCTTCTGCTTCCTGTCCCAAAATGTGAGAGGGGCTACATACACATAGAAACAAAAAGTAAATAATTCATATGGGCCAAATATCATTTCTTTATTTCAGGGTTACCCAACCAGTTGATTGCGGTCGACCGGTAGTCCGCAGACAGGATCCAAGTTAACCGCGCGGTGTGTCGAGGGAAATGGGGTAAAACCCAAAAAGATATATATCTGTGTGTGTGTGTGTGTGTGTGTGTGTGTGTGTGTGTGTGTGTGTGTTATTATATATTTTTGTGTTAGTGTACACTGCACCCTAACCCAGCCGCTGGGGGGCAGTGCCCTCTCCTGGGGGTGCACTGTTCCCCAGTGCCGGTCCCAAGCCCGGAGAAATGGGGAGGGTTGCGTCAGGAATGGCATCCGGCGTAAAAACTTTTGCCAAGACGACCATGCGAGTTGGTAGGACGGTTTACAGGGGCGGATGGAAATTACTGACTCGCTGTGGCGACCCCTGAATAGGGACGTGCCGAAAGGAGAAGAAGAAGTGTACACTGCACCCTAAGCATCCTATCAGTTTCACTTTCACATAAAAGGACTTAACCTACAGTGGCACAGGAAGTTGTTAGCAGTCAAATTGCAGCGAGCAATCAGAGCTGTTGAGCTGTATCTATTTTTTTTCTTTATTCTCATTTAAAGTTTGTTTGATTTGTAATTCACCAACGGCATTGTCAAAGAATGGGAATCTTGAGCGCCATGAGAAGCATTTTTAAAAAAAAGTACACTGAAGCTGTGATTCTTAACACCCTACTAAAGTGTGCCTCTGGCTCCATGTATTACAAAGGTAGGCAGTGTTTTATTTTTCACAAACTCACAAAATCTTGAATCTATTTTATTTTTCTGTTTCGTCCCTGTTAGGGTCCATTATTGCTATTGCTTATCATAGCATGTGTGTGCGCGTGCTAGTGTGTATGTGTATGCGTGTGTACCAGTCAAAAGAGGTTGGGCACCCCTGCTTTATATGCAACCTCTTCGTTGCTTGATCAAGAAGTGAAATAAATATGAATATAGTGTAGATATCAGGTGTATTACGTGGAGTTTTTAGGGGTTGGGGGTTGAGTTGGCCTCTGCCATTTTGAGGCCGGTCTCCCCCGTCCTCTGCGCGAAGCTCGTCATGTGATACGGAGGACGGCTTGATGCAGGCTGTTTTAAACAAGTCCGCAGCCACCAGCCATCTATCCAGCTGCACCAATGCAGACTGTCCAACAGCAACAGCCCCATGCTGTCAAGCAGCGAAAGTCAAATAGCGCCGACATCCCCCCCCCCCCAATCTAAATTAATGCTGGAACACACATGCTGCAATGGAGGCGCAACCATCAAGCACTGATTCTTCTCCTTCAACGAATGGCGTGGCCAAAACGCTGAAAACAGTCCACAATGGGTACCCACAAAGGACAATGAAGTATCTGTTGATGACGGATGTCGGTGCTTGTACCGGGAAGTGTCTTGGCCTCCAGGTGTCCACTGAGGGGCGTATCAGAGGGCCGGGTCGAGGGGCGCGGCATGTAAATGGGGGGGGGGGGGGTTTTTCTGCTATGTTACTTGTAATTTGCATAAACTGTGAATAAACGTGTTCAGGGGCTGCGGTAGGTTGGGTTCGATCTGAGAGGCAAACACAGTTGTGTTGCTTCAAAGAACAATGGCCCCTGCTGAGCAGTAAAAGACAATCTCTTCCCAAGTCGAGTCTGTGTTCAACTGTCTGAGTGAGCATCTCTGACACGGAGCTTCTCACCTTATCTCTAAGGGAGAGCCAGGACATCCCTGCGGAGAAAACCCATTTCGGCGGCTTGTATCTGGGATCCCGTTCTTTCGGTCATGACCCATAGCTCGTGACCATAGGTGAGGGTTGCAACGTAGATCGACTGGCAAATTGAGCGCTTCACTTTTGGCTCAGCTCCATCTTTACCACGACAGACCGATACAAAGTCCTCATCACAGCAGACGCTGCACTGATCCGCCTGTCAATCTCCCACTCCTTCCTGCCCTCACTCGTGAACAAGACCCCAAGACAAACTCCTCCACTTCGGGCAAGATCTCCTCCCCGGCCCAGAGAGGGCACTCAACCCTTTTTCGACCGAGGACAATTGTTTCAGATTTGGAGGTGCTGATTTTCATCCCAACCGCTTCACACTCGGTTGTGAAATGCTCTAGTGAGAGTTGGAGAGCGCTGCTTGAAGAAGCCAACAGAACCACATCATCTGCAAAAAGCAGAGATGCAACACTGTATCTATTTAAAAAAAAAAATAGTACAGCCCCACAGATATAAAAGTATCCAAAAGAGTCCACCAGCAAAAAGGAACTCATAAACTCAACTGTATTTATAGAGCACTTTCAAACAGCCATCGCTGCATACAAAGTGCTGTACATGGAGCAACTAACATACACACAACAATAAAGCCACAAATCAGTAACAAAGATGGTAGAAGGCACCAAACAGTAAAACTAAGATCAGATCTGAGTCATGCTGAGTCAAATGCCAAAGAATACAAGTGAGTTTTGTAGCGGGTTTTAAAGATGGGCAGCGAGGGGGCTTGCCGAATGCTCAGTGGGAGGTCATTCCAGAGAGAGTGACCAGCAACGGAAAAGGTTCGATCCCCTCTGAGCTTCTGTTTAGCTCTTGGTACTTCTAATAATGTCTGGTCCGCGGACCTGAGGCAGGTGTGTAGGGGCGATGAGCTCAGAGAGGTAAGGTGGCGCGAGGTCATTTAAAGATTTGAAAACAAATAATAGGATCTTGAAAAGAACTCCAAAATGTATAGGGAGCCAGTGAAGGGATGCCAGAGTAGGAGTTATGTGCTCCCTCTTACGACTACAAGTCAAGAGGCGAGCAGCAGCATTCTGGACCAGCTGGAGACGCTTAATGGAGGATTGGCTGACTCCAAAGTAAAATGCATTGCAGTAATCGAGTCAGGGTGTGACAAAGGCATGAATTACTGTCTCAAGGTGCTCATGAGAAAGGAGAGGTTTTACTCTAGCCAGCTGTCTGAGATGAAAGAAATTGGATTTAACAACAGCACCAATTTGCCGGTCAAGTTTAAAATCATTGTCCAGTTTAAGACCCAAGTTTTAGACTGTTGACTTAAGATAAGGAGACAGGTGGTCGAAGTCTACAGGATGTGATGTACAAGGGCCACTGGGACCAAACAGTATCACCTCTGTCTTCTTTTCATTGAAATTCAAGAAATATTTTGCCATCCAGGTTTTGATTTCTTCCAGGCAGGATAAAAGTGGCCTTTATGAGAAGGCGTCTTTTTTGCTCACTGGGACATAGATCTGACAGTCATCTGCATAGCAGTGGAAGGAAATACCATATTTCCTTAAAATGGAACCCAATGGGAGCAGGTACAGTGAGAACAGCAGAGGCCCCAGAATTGAGCCCTGCGGAACACCACATGACAGTGGAGCAGTACGTGACTCAGAGCAGCCAAGGCTGACACAAAAGGTTCTGTCAGCTATATAGGACCTAAACCACTCAAGAGCACTACCGCCAATGCCCACCAAGTGCTGCAAATTAGTCAACAGAATACTGTGATCCACTGTATCAAATGCTGCAGTTGAATCCAATAAAACCAGACACACGTAGTCTCCAGTCTCATTTGCCAGGAGGATGTCATTAGAAATGCGTAACAGGGCTGACTCTGTGCTATGCATCTTCTTGAAACCTGACTGGAAGACCTCCAAGATGTTATGTTCATCCAAGAAAGATTTCAACTGCATGTGTACCACTTTTTCCAGGATTTTTGAAATGAAAGGCAGTTTGGAAATGGGCCTAAAATTTGACAGCACATCTTGATCAAGACCAGGTTTCTTGATCGAAGCTTGGACCACAGCATGTTTAAACTGTTGGGGAACTATACCAGAAGAGAGGCTGCTGTTGACAATGGCCAAGACCAATGTACTAATATTCGTGAGAACCTCTTTTAAGAAATGCGGGGGAAGAGAGTCGCCAGGGGAGCCAGATGGCTTAGTCTGGCGAACCACATCCTCTAAAAGCGTCAAGGACACAGTTTCAAAAGAATTTAACACAGCTGAACACAGATGATGGACAGAGGGGTCAAATGTGGTATTTGAAACAGGAGGCCTAGCTGTAGAAACCTTATCAATGAAAAACCGAAGGACTCTGTTGCACATTTCGGGTGAAGATTCCGAGCAAGTAGGCCGAGGGGGTTTGAGTACAGAATCAATGGTTTTAAATTGTACGCGTGGGTTGTGATGGTTCGCTTGAATAAGGTCCGACAGATATTCTCTTTTGGCCTCTTTAACTGTGATCTGGTAATTACGCCAGCAGTCTTTCCAGATTTGATAAGAGACCTGCGATTTGTCTTTTTTCCACTTGCGTTCGGCTTTGCGACACCCATGCCTAGCCGCGCGAGTTTTGTCGTTAAACCAAGGCTCGGGTTTAGGTTTTGGGAGCACAGTTTTTGAAGGAGCCACCAAATCCGGGATGGCATTGCATGATGAGTTGAACCAAGAGGTGAGTTCGTCTGTGTTAGATGAGGGTACGCGAAGGTTATTAAAGGTATCAGAGAGCCGACCTGCAGTGGGAGGCTTAAAAATTCGGCGGTTGCGACCAGGAGCGGTAGATTTTACAGCAGCACGCGATAAGGCTATGTCAAATAAAACTGCCACGTGATCAGAAATCCCATTTTCAAAGACTTCCAGGTTTGATACCGGTCGACCATAAGCAAGGACGAGGTCTAAAATATGACCTTGTTGATGTGTCGGGCTGGTCACATATTGCACAAAATTAAAGGAATCAGCAAAAAGACACTACGATTTGCAATTAGCGACTTACGCCAACTGGCCAGCAAAACCCAAAACAGCAAATGAATAATGCTGAATGTATGCCCCCAACCCCGCACCAATATGTTGCCGAGACGTCAAAATGTGTGAATCTAGCATAATCTGTCCTTCTATCAGCATGTTGTCCGAGAGTTAAGGGTGTTTGAACCTGACATATTCCTTCAGCATGTTATCAGAGTGCTAAAGGCGCCTCAATCCTCTGTTTCCCTTTGGCATGTCAGAGATTTAAGGGTGTGTCAATTCAACCTACCTACACCTCAAGACATGAGGGTGTAGGAAGTACGGAACCCAACTTATACTCCATTTGCATGTTGTCAGAGTGATGAAAAATACACAAAATGGGTCCAGTGTAGTTTCATCAGCATGAGGTCACACAGCTAAGATTGTTGAATCCAACATACCTCAATCCCACTCCCTCATCAGGATAGTGTCAGAGAGATAAGGTTGTCTGCATGAAACGTACCCTTCCGCATTTTTAAAGATGTAAAGGTTTAGGAATCCAACCTACCCACACCCCATCAGCATGTCAGAGGAGTAAACGTGTTGAAATCTAATGTATCTCACCCCGAATCAGCACATTGTCCGAGAGGTAAAGGTGTTCGAATCCAACATCTCCACATCAGAATGTGGGGGACGTCGGATTCTAAAAAAACTCAAGAGTTGTATGAGTCCAACGTATCCACACTAATTCCAATTTTGTCAGAGAGGTTAGAGTTGGTAAAGTTCATAACACATAACACATAGCTCGTAACACACACCGCAAATACATTAACAAGCATGCAAGTTGTCTCCTACCAGGTGCTGAAATGAGTTGTCCTTTGACCTCCATGGCTTTTGTGTCCCATTTGACTTCTCCTCTTCCTTCCTGACTGACCGACTCATTTAGCTCAAGCACGGCTCTCACCTGCAACACATACACAGCCGCAAAACACCCACTGAGTCAAACAGAAGGCGCACATGAATGAACTCACAGACAAGCTCACACACCATTCAAGAGGAACGTTCAGTTTGGCAGAAATTTAAGTTCATGCAATTCACTCATTGTTTTTATGTTGTGATTTCAGTTTAGGTTTCAGGAAAAGTGCACTCATTATCGTACGCAATAGAAAGTAACAACTCCAGTGACAGAAAAAAAGGTATAGAGACACTGGTTTTATTTTCCAACATGACTGGACATCTCCCACACTGCCAAAAGTAAAAAGTTCAATAACCAAAAACAAAACAAAAAAAAGACCCTGATCTGAACTCCATCGAAAATTCATGGGCTGTTGTCAGAGGAAGATGTTGGACAGATATCGACCTCAAGGTTGCTACCAAAGCAACCTGGGCTTCCATTAAACGAGTGGTTCTCAATTATTTTCTGTCATGCCCCCCCCAAGGAAAAGGAAAACATCTCGCGCCCCCCCGCACGACTATAAATAGTATCATTTGTCTATAAAATTGTTATAAGTACACCTTTGCATAACACTGTATCCTTATTAACGTATAAGAGAATAAAAAAAGAAAGAAATATGGACCAACTTTATGGACCAACTTACAACAAAGAATAGCTTTAGTAACTGGAACAGAAAAGATTTAAAGTGCATCTGAAATTCAAAAATAACATTAAATCCTTAATTTAACAATAAATATTTTTTGACTGACCATGTCAAACCATACGATACTGAAAAATAAAATTACAAATAATTAATAACTAATAACGCATTAAACTAATCACCAACATTATGTCAGGAGCACAATATTAAAACAAACTTTAACCAGCAAAACAAAAATATATAAAAGAATTTGTGCTTTTTTCTTTTTTTTTTTTTTTTTTTAATCAAAGATGATGTCTGGATTAATGGCTACAATGAGCACGTTTTGCAATGCACAGCTTTTCGAAGCGAGGTTTGAAGCAGGACACAGCAACTCTCGGCTCCTGCTCAATGTGTAGCCGCGACCTGTATTTTAGTTTACTGAAGTAGCAGTCACAAAGTGGCATGATTGTTGGCAATATTCGGGACTTTTTCACTGAAAATAAATCAAGCAGCTTTCAGCGTGATTGCGGTGTAATGTCTTTAAGTGACGCCTTAATTTATTTGGCTTCATGCTGTCCTCTACCAAAATTTTTAGACACTGTAAGCACATCGATCTTTCCTCGTCAGCCACCGCAGTCACATTGAAGCCAAGCGCTACATACGCCTCATCATATTTCCTCCCTGAGAATGCTCCCTGCGCAACCTGCGAAAACTCTGCCAATGAGAGCGCCACTGCCCCCTAACGTAGTGGAGGTGCAACTGCACGTTATTTTAGGACAGTAAAAAAATAAAAAAGCATGTTCCCCGAGGTCAAACGCGCCCCCCTTGGCGGAGCCTCGCGCCCCACTATTTGAGAATCACTGCATTAAACCTACGCAGTACCACAGACTGACAACCTCCATGCTAAGGAGCCTCAACCAAGTATTGAGTTCATTGAAATGCACATACCTTTCAGAAGCCTGACATTTATGCTAAAAACATCCTTTTAATTTTGGACTTATGGAGTATAATTCTCTGAAAAAGTGAATTTTAAGTCATTGTCCAAGCCATAATTATCTAAACATCTAAACCTTTTGTTTTCCCCAAGATGCCGCCCGAGTAGGCAGCCGTCAGCAAGTGCTCTTCAAGAGCCTTTCTTTTTTGTTGTTTTTTTGTTTCTTTTGCTTTTGGCTTTTTTTGTCTTTTGTTTTGTCACATGGTGTTTGGTGTTACGTCGTGTGGACCTGATGTGGATTGCTTTCAATGTTTTTTGGCCACGACATTCGTCAAAGGAGAAGAATCTGTGCTTGGTGGTTGCGCCTTCTCGGCAGCACGCGTGTACCAGTAAAGAGATTTTGGTCTCTTTATAATCACACTGGCTAAACCCCAGTGGGACAAAAAAGACTCTGTGGATGAGACTACTATTGTAGTAGAAAAATATATGTATTTTTACAGAAAAAGAAAAGAAACATACAGATCACTGGAGATAGCGTGTCCGTCCGACCTCGAGCGTCGTGTCATTTCAACTAACTAACTTAGCTGTTGTCGTGGCTAGGCTAGCTTAGCTGTTGTCGTAGATCAAAGCTCTTTGATGTGTAACGTCCGTTGCGTCAGCACGGATTGGTTGAAGCCAAAAGACGTGCGCGTGCGTACATGTTCATGCTAACGCACGCACAGCACAGAGCAGCGGACTAGCGACTGCTGAGTCGCGCTTCACTCGAGTGGCGTCGCTACACCAGCACTGATTTTGATTGGGAGAAATGTCAGCACCATTTGACTGTCGGTGCTGGACAGCACCGGGGCGCTTGTGTTTTTTGTGCCTGTAATGGGCAGCACTTTTCACAGCCCCGTTTTGTTCAGTGGCGATGTCGGCGCTGTTTGACAGTCTGCATTGATTCAGCTGGATGGATGGCTTGTTGAGCCGAGGATGAGGAGAGAGGAGCATCAGCGCGGAGCGCAGATGTGTATTTGGAACTGAGAGTCGGCGCTTGGAATTGAAGCGGATTTACGTGGGACAGGAGAAGTGAACCAATCTCTTTTTTCGTCAATGGATGCGACAGCTTCTTGTTTACTGTGAAACTTAGCTTGAAGCAGACGCGTGCACATTTTCAGCATGACGTCTCTGATCCACTGCTGAAAGGACACTTTGATTCTCAGCTCTTTGATCCAGAATTGCTTCAAACAACAATGCTTGTGAGCATAAAGTGGCAAAGAGTGCATAACTGTCCGTGTTTTTATGTTATGTGTTGTGTTTATTACTTACTTTATGTTAACTGTTTTGTAAAGCGCTTTGTTATAGCTGCAGCTGTTGTGAAAGCGCTATATAAATCAGGATGTATTGTATTGTATTGTAAACAACAAGAAATAGAATCGTGAAATAGTTTAATCTGTGCAATGAATTTATGAAAAAAGAAATCCATCCATCCATTTTCTAATCTGTTTATCCTCACAAGGGTCGCGGGCAGTAGGTGGGGTACATCCTAAACTGGTTGCCAGCCAATCATAGGGTACACATAGACGAACAACCATTCACGCTCAGAATCACATCTAAGGACAATTTAGAATGTTTCATTAACCTGACATGCATGTTTTTGGAATGTGGGAGGTAACCAGAGTACTCGGAGAAAACCTACGCAGGCACGGAAACAACATGCAAACTCCACAAAGGAAGGCCGGAGCCAGAATCAAACCCTGCACCTCTGCATTGTGAGGCAGACATGCTAACCAGTCGATCACTGTGCCGCCATGAAAAAAAATACTAAAATGACTGACAAAAATAGTGAACTGTCATGACATTCCTATTTATTTGTTTGTGTCAGAGTTGTCAATTAGACATTCAAAATAATGACCCAATGAGGAGAGGACACACTGGATTCTGGTACCAAATCTCTCAAGGGGGAACGAGGAGAAGTGTTAGGTTTCACTTCTCCGCACGTCACCCAAGGATCTTCCTGCTCGCCCTCTCATTTATTTCTCATTGGGAATCTAATACATGGGTGTGTCCAACCTAAAGGGTGAGGGCTGTTGAAGACACACACTGAACTTGTTTGACTATGTGTGTGTATGTAAGTGATAATTATGTACCGGTACATGTGTGCAATTAAAAAAACACCAAGTAAGCTGCGGCTGGTGTTGACAGTTCCATCTACATCTGACTTTGCTCTTGTTTTGTCTTTTTACCTTATCTCTTCCCAACCACTTTCTCGGAAAAGCAGTTGGGTCCCTCAATGGTCACACAGTGCACTAAGCATTTTTTTATTATAAATGTGAGCATATCTTTATTAAAACCCTCACGCCATGCAGGTACACATCATGTACACCTGACATGCGTTGTGTTGCAAAAACAAATGCATGCCACGAGGGTTAAAACCCATGCATTTTTTTTTTTGCAACACAACGCATGTCAGGTGTACATGATGTGTACCTGCATGGCATGAGGGTTTAAAAGCATCAGCGTTCTTCATTGCAAGCATAATCAATTTATCATTAATAATATGGAAATGTATGATAACTAAAAAAACATAATCAATTTAACATTTCCCACTGTTTATCCTACTTTTGCTAGTGTTCTCATATCGTCACACAGAACCTTCCTGTCGGACTTTATTCAGTGGAGTCATGTTGTATATGCAAAGATAGTTACACTAAGGGGCTGGAAAGAAGGAGGTTATCACCAGATTAAAAATGAATCTAATAAAGAATCCAGGAAAAGATGGTTAAAAATCATCTGACATTCTGATATTGAAGTGAAATCATGTCTCCATAAACTGAGCCGTTGTCCACATCAGAATCACTGCCATCCAATAGTAACAGCAGAGAATATATTCCATTCACTTTGGACGTCGTGGGCGCAATGGCCATCGTGATAAATCGGATGAGCAGAGCGCTGATCCAAGGAACGCAACAACATCCACACAATGTCAAGATAGCTGAAAAATAAATGCAAGAGAGATTAAGACATAACACACCAAATGTTTTCAGGTGTCAAAGCCTTCCCCCACCACTCTGACCACAAGGGCGGAATGATCCGGTACAGCATGCGGAGGCCTTCAGTGGCCCTGGTGAGGGCGCGGTGAGGCGCGGTGGAACAACACTGCTCACCGAACATCGCACACGCTCCATTGGCCTCAGCCAAGAGCACATCGACCACTATACGGTTCTGGAACACCATCAGAGAGGTGGCTGCCACCCTGCAGCCACCTGGTTCGCCAACTTATATTCATCTGGTACGCCACAAGGAACTCCAATCTCAAACCCTCCAGGAGGCGCCATGTCAGTATCGGAGAAGACCTTTCTCCGTCATCGACAATAGCGCAGCCCCTTGTATATCATCTGCTGTGGACAGAAACATAGTCATTGGTAAAAGTAATGACACCAATGCGCAAACACCTGTAGCATCACTTAAAGC